GGTTTAAAACTATAGACTTAAATATAATTTTATATGAGTTAACATAATTGAACGGTAATTGAAAATTGAAATTTAATATATGATGTGTTTATTAAAAAAATATAAAATATTAATTTAAAGTATGTTTAACATTATTTTATGGATTAATTTTGACTTTTTATATTAAATAAAATAAAAAAAAGAGTTCCATTTGAATTTTTCTGGTCCATATTTTGACCAATTCCACGTTGACAACTAGTCATTCCATATTAAATTCATTAATTTTATAAAATTCAATTGGTCTTGAACAAATATATATTTTTTTTAAATAAATTATTTAGATGATAATTGATATCTTATTTGTTATGTTTTTCCAACTAGTTTGAGTGATGCCATTTAAGTATCAATATTAGGAGTTTAGAGATAAAATAATTATTATATTAATATGCAGATTTTTTAATTATTATTTTAATTGGTTTAAAAATATTTTTTTTAATTTTTTTAGTGTAATAAGTATACAGGGTACCGAACTATCGACTTTTATGTTGTTATTGATGAGTGATTTTTTAATGAGCCACAAAAATAATTAAAGAGAGTTACTAGCCGATCCAAAATGGGCGATTCTCTATCCAAATCTCACTCCAAAAACATTGACATACACGAGATGCTAGACGGTTGGAATCACGAGGTGTGTGTAAGAGCTTCGAACAAAACCTTGTCTTTACTCGTGAATAATTGTAGTAACAAAGAAAATTCTAAAAGTAATTGTTGCTCAAATCAATGGTCTTGTTGCTTCCAACTCGGGCATGTGTACCACGGTACTATTTATATTTTTTATTTATAAAATATTTCGTTCGTTCTGGTCACTTAAATATTTGGGAGTAATATATTTTACACGAATGTTATTCTAATATTACAATAAACGAGCTAGACAACGAAAAGGGAAATAAATAGGATTATTGATTTTGTTTTAGAGTTTAAAGATATATTTTTCAAACAAATACAAATTTTATTTTACGGATATTTTTATTAATTTAGCAAAATAATAATAAATCAAAACAAAAACTTTTGAGAAAATGGGTGATTTTTTTTATTTTTTGATTTTTTATTATGGGAATGGAAAGAATCGGCGAATAAATCACAAGGGTAAAACCGTCCTTTAATAAATCCCGGTCAAACAAGGCAACCAAATAACAATGCACAACAGATCCCAACTTTGACCCGATAATAAATAAAATAAATTCCGTCCGGCCCGGGTCGCCACTGATATATCCGAATAGGTCCCACAAGCCAAAAATTAATAAAAGATCAGACGGTCAATAACAAAAGATGGCGGTTGACCGCTGACCTAAAATCATGAAACACAACTGACTAAAAAGCACACAATCATTTCCCTTAATAGCCGCCCGGCCAGAGATATTATAATTACAAAATTACCTAATACAAAAGGGTGGCTCTGGTTGTAATCCCCTGATTCGCGGACCATTATATATTCTTTCTTTCTTTCTCCCCAAGAATCTGGAGTTCCTGGAACCTTCCGAATCTTGACGCTTTACGAGAGGCGTCGAAGATTTCTTGAGCGCCAAGTAAAGCTACTGTTACCAACCTAATCAACCGTCGCACTGTAACCGCGAAGCACACGATTACGCCTCTTGTCGGTTATTTCTTCTAGACAAACCATTACTTATAAGCGGACTGGTCGTTGCTTCATGGCCAATCGGAGGAGAATCGACGTGAAGGAAATCTATTGTTTGAGTTCTAGCAATGAATCGGCTTGTGATTAGGAGTGTTGTGAGGGGGCTCGTTAATAGCCGGAGCTTTGGCTCGATAGCCGGTGACAGTGGCGGTGGTATGAAGGTCACTTTCGCGGCGGCGGCGTCTCCGTCGACGAGGTACCAGCCGTTGGCGGATGGGGGATTCCAGTGGCGGAGGTTGATGAGCTCGTCCTCGGCGGTGGCAGAGGAACAGGGGAAGGTGAAGTTAGAACAGGGGAATAAGGATGTTGAGAATCAGGAGAAGGAAAAAGAGAAGGATAATGCGTTGGTTTCCAGTTATTGGGGGATTTACAGGCCGAAGATTACTAGGGAAGATGGGTCTGAATGGCCTTGGAATTGCTTTATGGTATGAACTTGATATTCATCATTTTTGTCCTTTTCGATTGGGCTTCGGGATTGGTCGTTGTACTCTTGCCCGTTAACTGTTTGATTAAATGCCTGCTTGCTTTTGGCCTGAACTTGTGTGTCCTTTTCTTGGGTAATTCAAAGTTCGAAGATTTCCTTATTTAGCTCTGGAAGATGTGTTTAAAATGCGTTTTATATTCCAATGTTTTGATTAGATCCCTCTCGTTAAGCATGAGAATAGTGTTTTTTCTTCAATGATTTTGCGGTTCTGATGAAACTATTGCTGTATATGCAGCCATGGGAAACTTACAGAGCGGATGTGTCCATAGATCTTGGAAAGCACCATGAGCCAAAAGCTTTTCTGGACAAAGTCGCTTACCGTGTTGTGAAGCTTCTTCGAATCCCAACTGATATCTTCTTCCAGGTGGGTTATTTGATTCGTTTGTTCTTCCATCAAATCCTTTGAATTGGAACAATGAATTCTGAGTGGTTCAATCATTATTGAGAACCCTCTAAATGTGCGAGTCTCTGTTTATGCCGACTAGAATTCATGTCAGTGTTCATGTTGTGCAGAGGCGCTACGGCTGTCGAGCAGTGATGCTCGAGACAGTAGCAGCAGTCCCGGGTATGGTCGGGGGCATGCTGCTGCATCTAAAGTCACTGAGGAGGTTTCAGCACAGTGGGGGGTGGATCAAGGCCCTGCTTGAAGAAGCAGAGAACGAGAGGATGCATCTAATGACCATGATTGAGCTCGTGCAGCCCAAATGGTATGAGCGGATGCTTGTGATCACAGTGCAGGGAGTGTTTTTCAACGCCTTCTTTGTGCTCTACTTGATGTCCCCCAAATTAGCTCATAGAGTTGTTGGGTATTTGGAAGAGGAAGCCATCCATTCATACACCGAGTACTTGAAGGACATCGACGAGGGCAAGATCGAGAACGTCCCCGCTCCTGCCATCGCCATCGACTACTGGAGGCTGCCCAAGGACGCTAGGCTGAAGGATGTCATCACGGTTATCCGCGCCGACGAGGCTCACCACCGCGACGTCAACCATTTTGCTTCTGTGAGTAGCCATTCTTCTTCTTGTTCTTCTTTATTTACTTAAATCAAACAATTTCTTATGGCATGAGTTTTGTTCATGTGCAGGACATCCATTTCCAAGGAAAGGAACTGAGAGAATCCGCCGCCCCTCTTGGATATCATTGAACTCATAATTTTTTGTGTTTGTTTTCGGATTATAGGCCTAAAAAGATGCATTACTATGTGTTCGGCTTTATATTTGGTCTCCAGTTCTACTAAATGTGTACATAAGGATCAATAAAAACCTTCATAATACAATTTTTTAAAGGAATTTTACGTTGAATTTTGGGTCTTATAAGAAATTGTGGTGGTTATGACTGACACGTGTCGGTTTGAAGTCCTTGTTTTGTTTTTTACTTTTATAATCCGTCGTCCCACTTTCTTGGGAACTTCTAGGCAGGATCCGACACGTCGTCATGGCCAAGCTGGAAAGTTCTGTCACGCAATTTGCTTGGAAGAGTCCAATAAATTGTTCTTTTTTTTGGGGTTTATGTGGTTACCGCTGGGCCGCCAGATGGGTCTTGCCCACGTGAACAGATGGGTCTTGCCTACGTGTAACTTCTTAATATCACAAACGTGTACCTTCCACTCTGTCATAATTATCTATGAGATATTTTGAGGAAATTAAAAGTAAAATTATAAGAATTTATGTTCAAAGTGGAAATATCATATTATTGTAGAGGCCTATGATTCTTAACCATCGTGATAAACTAATTCTCATGGTAGAAGACAACGAACTAACTGCAAGATACATTGGTCAAGGTTTCATGATTACTTTATTCCATGCAAATCGTTTGCCTGTAACTATTCAATATCTTTACAAAAAACTAATCGCATCGGAGCGTTTCTGCGGTCAAACCCATTTTGAATTTGATAAATGCATTGCTTGTGAAGTATGTGTTCGTGTATGTCCTATAGATCTCCCCGTTGTTGATTGGAAATTGGAAACGGATATTCGAAAGAAACGATTGCTTAATTACAGTATTGATTTCGGGATCTGTATATTTTGTGGTAACTGCGTTGAATATTGTCCAACAAATTGTTTATCAATGACTGAAGAATATGAACTTTCTACTTATGATCGTCACGAATTGAATTATAATCAAATTTCTTTGGGTCGTGAGTTGCTTCAATCAATTAGATAAAATTAATGATTAATTTTTGCATCAATTAAATGAAAAAATCACACTTAAAATTAATAAATTCACGAAGACTTTACGTTAATTTAGTGGGTAAATTAGCCATAATAGAATATTCCATATAAATTAAGAAACTTATTTAATGGACGACTTTTGATAATTGTTTTAAAATTGTTACAACAAAATTAAATGATAATTAAAATTTCCCCTTATTTAAAAATAATCGACGTGCATTAAATTAAAACAATTAATCGATAATGGTTAACTTTAATTATTGGGTGGCACTCAATGTACTTTTTAAGTGCGATCACAAGTCGCCGACCTAATTTCACCAAATTATTTATTTTCTGTTCAATATAAAACAAAAAAACAAAAGAAAAACATTATAAAAACAAAATATAATTTCCATTTATTTTACTGAAATAAACAAATTAATTCTCAATCTTTTAAAATATTAAACGAAAATATTAAATTGAATATTTCAAAAAGAAAAAAAAATTGATTTGTAGGTTGCATGAATTTCGATCATAATCTAATACGTATTTAAATTTTAAATTTTGCGTCCATTAAATATATGATTTTTTTTAAATATTTTAAATAATTTATCCGCAATTATTTGAATTATAGCCCAACGAAGAGATGCTACCTAACCACGAACGGTGTGCGTTATTTTTGCAAATATAATTTTTTTGACTTTGGTTGTAGTCATCTGTGGAAGGTGAAGGCGATAGTGTCTGCAGAAGAGGAGGGAGTTCATCTTGAGTTCCTCCGATGGACTCCGTCTTTGCTGCTGCGACGAGCAACATAGCTATATGTTGCGTTTCGAAGGCCTTGAATCGGAGGCTCTCCGAAATTGTTCGTAGAAGATGCGTTCGCGGTGGTGACCGAGCTCGCAATTTCAGCTGCATTTCCAGTTACCTTGCTCTATACGGAACTGGACTTATTGGTTCTTCTTCACCGTCGCTTAGGACTCTGCAAGTTGTTTTGCCTTCGCTGCAGCGTCGTTTGCGTTGCGTTTCGAGTTCCTCTGTGTCTTTTGCATCTGGTGGCGGGAATGGTGGTTTTGGAGGGAATAATGGCGGCGGAGGTCGTGGTGGAGATGGTGGACTGGGCGGTGGAGATGCGAATAAGTTTGTTTCTGGAAGTGCCGAGGAGGTTTCTTCACTATTGCCTAACGTGATTATTCTGGATGTTGGAGTATGGATTTCGCATCGCTTCCTTGGTTATTGCTTTATCTTTTCATCGCACGTCTTCGTATTTTAACTCTACCGAAATCTTTGATGATTATTTTTTTTCTGATTTTCTTCTGTGCAATATTATTGTAATTATTTTTTTTCTCATAGAAAAAAAATCGTAGGGAATGACATGCGGGGGATGTGCAGCAAGTGTGAAGAGAATTCTAGAGAATCAGGTTATAGTTACTAATTCTTTTTGCTCGGTCTTCAAATACGGAAATAATTTTTGTAAACAAGAAACATGAACTAATTGAATGAATTAAATGTAGAAAACCAGGATAGTAGAAGCCAGTGAGTTTAGAATTTGTTCAAATAACTGTAACTAAAATTGGGGCAAGGAATTGCAAGTGAACAGACATTTTTTTTTCCTTGATAAATGAATCAATGCTCATGTTATTGTCAAATCACGAACAGCCACAAGTGTCATCTGCTAGTGTGAACCTCACAACAGAGACTGCAGTCATATGGCCAGTTCCGGCGGTTAAAGATTCACCTAATTGGCTAAAGCAGCTGGGAGAGACGCTTGCTAATCATCTAACTCGATGTGGTTTTGCATCTAGTCTTCGAGGTGAAAGCTCTTTTTTCACAAATACAAAGTATCGTCATTATGGCCAATGTTTAATTGTTGTTAACATGATCTCTGGTATAATTGTTCGTTAGTTTGGAACTTACTAACCTTGAATCTTGGCAAAGTTGGACATCTTCTTCAACTTCAACAACAGTCTGGGGTAACTAATTGGGTTCAAGCAGAGTCAAACATTCGAGGGAGGTCACCTCCTCTAATCGAAGAAGACTTAATAAGATGATTAGGGTTTTTCAAAACTCAAAGCAATAAGCTATAGGATAAGAATCATTTTGAACTCCTTATCTTCAACCCATAGATGTAGTAAACCATAACCGCTTGGTGACTTGAAGATCTGCGCAAGCTTTGTGGAGATATGAAAGTTTAGAGGGCTATAGCATATGTGCTTGTGAATTCATATGGAGGGGACACTTTAGGTTAGTTTCAAATGCCAAGGATTTATAGTAAGGTTACCATTCCATAAGGTCAAAATTAGACTTGAATAAAATGTGTGTATTTATATCTATATTACTGGGGATGCTTTGTGTCTAAAATAACATTTTCCTTGAAATATCAAATTCAAGATATATTTTATTTTTATGTTTTTTCTTTTTGTTAAAAAAAAAAAAAAAAAAAAACCCTTTGGTCTTTGTTCCTGTAAATTTCATTATTGAATCATTGCACAGACTTCGTTTTGCACCATCTGCTAGCTAGCAAGTGTTTGCAATCCATACTATTGAGAACGACCTATTCTATTTATGGGGTTGCGCTAGTATTAACTTCACTCATCCCAAATGCAAGTGGATTTGATATATTAGATGTTTGCACTCCTGGAAAGCTCTACATGTTTCTTTAGCCTAATAATACAACTGTTCTTATGTGTCCAGAGTCAGGAAGAGACAATATCTTCCTGGTTTTTGATAGGAAGATGGAAGAAAAGCGCAATCGTTTAAAAGAGAGTGGTTAGTACTTAATTCCTATGCTTTGGCCCTTCTTCCAAACTTAGTGTTTTACTATGATTTTTTTTTCTTTTTTTTGGATGGATATTATGTTTACCAATAAATCTCTGAAAAAATAGCTAATGCAGCTCTTTTCTTACGCTGTCAGGCCGCAATCTTGTTTTTTCCTGGGCTTTGTGTGCTGTGTGCCTTCTTGGCCACATTTCTCATTTCTTTGGCGCTAAGGCTTCATGGATCCATACATTTCATACTACTCAATTTCATCTATCATTGTGCTTATTTACATTACTTGGCCCTGGTCGTCAACTTATTATTGAGGGTATGAAAAGTCTTGTCAAAGGAGCTCCAAATATGAACACTTTAGTTGGACTTGGAGCTCTATCATCCTTTACTGTTAGCTCATTGGCGGCCTTAATACCAAAACTTGTAAGTGACGTGTCTATAAACAAAACCCACATGTTTTTATACAGTCATATTTATTCGATATATTTTTTTGTGGCAGTCAAGTTCTAACCATTTCAATCATCAGTTGATTTTATTTTTTATTTTTTATTTTTATTTTTCATTTTAAGAAAAACTCAATTTAATGTATTGCTATATCGCTTTCCAGAATATCATTTGTGGTTTTTGTTACAAACATTTTTCAGGTGATTTTTGTATTGCTCACCAGGTGGTTTTTGTTACAAACATTTTTCCAATGTTAATTTATTGCTATATCGCTTACCAGAATATCAATTTAATGTATTGTGTTCCGTCCTCAACTCGACATAAAATCCCTTACGCGTAATATTTGTTTTCTGGACAGGGTTGGAAGGCTTTCTTTGAGGAACCAGTTATGTTAATAGCATTTGTATTGTTAGGAAGGAACCTTGAACAGAGAGCTAAAATTAGAGCTGCGAGTGATATGACAGGTCTTCTTAGTATTTTACCTTCAAAAGCTCGTCTTGTTGTTGATGGTGATACTGAATCGGGTTCAACGGTTGAAATTCCTTGTTCTAGTCTTTCAATTGGAGATGAAGTTATTGTCCTACCTGGGGTTAGTCAAATGAATATGTCTCCCAATTCTTAAGTGATATCTTTACATTATTGCCAATTACTTTTAATAGATTTCTCCTTTCTTTTAGCTCATTATATCCCATACCAAGCTTCATTTGAATAATTTACATTAGAATGATTTTCCTTGTTAGCTGTTTAGAAAATTTCAGTTAAAAACTGTTTGGAGATATAATACAGTTAAACATTTAACAGTTTTACTGATCACTTTGATATAACTTTTTCTTCATTTCAGGACCGTGTTCCTGCTGATGGAATTGTGAAATCTGGTAGAAGCATTGTGGATGAGTCTAGTTTCACTGGGGAGCCATTACCTGTTACCAAGCTGCCTGGGGTACAATTTTTTTTTTTTATTTTTTTTTTTATAAATTATAGTAAATGCATCGTTATCTCATTTTGATGTCAGCCTCACATGTTTATTGGGAAGCAATAAGTCTACCTTGTTGCACTGTGGTCATATATAGAATAATATGGTCCCTTCTGCATCTGTCTAATTGAACAGTTAAGGTACTTAACGTTAGTGCATGATAGGATAAGTAAACTGTATTTGACCATTATGACGTATTTTTAGTTTCTTAAGACACAGCACTTCTGAAATCTAGTGTCATGTTGTCATAGAGTTTTTTTTTTCCTCCCCTGTGCTAGAGCCAAGTTGCAGCAGGAACTATAAATCTTAATGGAACTCTTACAGTTGAGGTGCAGCGACCAGGAGGTGAGACTGCTATGGGAGATATCGTTCGTTTGGTAGAAGAGGCTCAAAGCCGGGAAGCTCCTGTTCAACGGTTGGCTGACAAGGTTATCTCTGAATTTTTGTTATCTTTCTCTTTTTCTTTTTCTATTTCTGTGTTGAAATTGCTTGAAGTAGGCTGACAAGATTCTCTGAGTTAGGTCTCTCTCTCCCTATTTTCTTATGGATTGCCTGTCCATGACAAGTTTTGACTCCTTCTTCTCAATGAGATATGTTCTTGGGCGATTTCTAGTGTTAGCCATGACAGGGTAGAGGAGAGATGCGAAGCTAGAAAGGAGAGGAGAGATGTTTAGTTGAAGCATTGTCACTGGCAGTGGAGTGGAGGGGAGGGGAGGGGAGAATACAACACAAAGGCATCTCCACTTAATAGCTGATTCTTTTTTTCCAATACAAGTTATTATTTTTTGTGTTCTCGTTGTTTTTTGTTTGACCATTTATCCCTTACGACCACAACAGTTGTTTCATTAGTCAAATGAGCATCCTCTAAATACAGATGCTTTCCTTTTCTTTTTTCTTTGAGAGGTTGTAACAATACGATACAGCATTGTGGGGTTCGGGGTTGTTCTATAGGGTTAATCAATGTGTGCAAGTTTTTTTTTTTTTGTTTTTTTTGTTTTTGTACATTTATGGTTAAGAAAAACATGCCTTAATCTATTGAAGTCATACTATGCTCTTTCTGTGACTCCCTAGTTGATCTATCATGGAAATTTGGGTGGATTTCTTATTACTTTTGGATCTTTCTTCCAATAAAAGAAGTTTCAAGCATATTTAATGGCTTCTTATTGTGAATTTATGCATGCAATTGATTTATTATGCTGGCTATTTTTACTTCACCAGGTGTCTGGGCACTTCACTTATGGAGTAATGGCACTCTCTGCTGCAACTTTTATATTTTGGAGTCAATTTGGATCACGCATTCTGCCTGCAGCTCTTTACCATGGAAATTCAGTTTCATTGGCACTGCAGCTTTCTTGCAGTGTTCTGGTATGATGCTTGAAGTTTGTGCTCAAACCTTGGTTACTCTTACATGCAAATTTATGAACCATGGAAAGTAACAACTGTTTTGATCGCTACACATATTCTATATCAAAATGATATTTCTGAGGGATCATTCTAGAGATGATACACTCTTACCGTATTCTACGTCAAAATCAAGTAATTCTTATCCTAGATCTAAAGTGGCCATCCTAGACATAGATAGAATTTTGTGGTTGAACATATTTAACGCTCTACTTTGGGAAATTTGGTTTGAAGAAAATACATGGATTGTTATTGGGGAAGATCGATATAACATCTGTACTTTTTGGAGGTTAGGTCTTTAATAGCTGTTTCGTGGATGTAGAAATACAATAAATACATAGGGTCAAATTTGTCGGAACTAGAAGACTCATCTAGTGGAAACTTTTATTTGTAAGGATCCACACTCAGGAATGGTTTGCTGTTGAATCGTTATATAAGTGGTTTTCTTTTATTAAATTCCTTCTTAAGATGCATATAGGTAAATTCTGTGTATAATTGTGAACGATCCGACAAAGTACTTAGAACATGAATGAAATTGGGAGAGATTTGGAAGGTTCATAATTGACTCATAAAATATAAAAAACCCTATATTCTTGACGCAAGTCTCATATTGTTCTAGTCAACTTTTTGATTCAACACTCCCTTGATATGAAAAGTTTTATTCTTTGTATGACCCCTCCGTTCTTCTTATGTAGAGAAGAAAGGAATAGTCTATGCTGTCTTTTTCTTCTTTTTTATTGTAATTTTCTTTTTGTTTCTCTTTTATCAATTGGCATGTTTAACACTAAATTGATATGAATGTTTTCTTTTCTTTGTATGACCCTCCATTCTTCTTACGAACTAGAGAAGAAGGAATAGTCTATGCTGTCTTTTTCTTCTTTTTTCTTGTAATTTTTTTTGTTTCTCTTTTATCAATGGGCATGTTTAACACTCACTTGATATGAAAAGTTTTATTCTTTCTATGACCCCTCCATTCTTCTTACTAACTAGAGAAGAAAGGATAGCCTATGCTGTCTTTTTCTTCTTTTTTCTTGTAAAAAAATGTTTTGTTTCTCTTTTATCAATTGGCATGTTTACAGATCGGTATATTTCTGGCCTATATTCTTAATGCAGGTTATTGCTTGTCCATGTGCACTTGGCTTAGCTACTCCAACTGCAATGCTGGTGAATTTTCTCTTAAAGTCTCTTCATCTCTGTATTAGATTGTTTACTTTGAACATATTTATGATTTGCGCTTTGTTTATGATCTATCAGGTTGGAACTTCATTAGGTGCAACTAAAGGATTACTTCTGCGGGGTGGAAATATCTTAGAGCAGTTTTCAATGGTAGATACTGTTGTCTTTGACAAAACAGGGACCTTGACAGTTGGGAAACCTGTTGTGACAAAGGTGTTGGCGACTTCTAGATATGAGAGAGATGTAGATTCACAGTTGAGTGCGGTTTCTTAACTTATAATGGATGTTTCCTTGGGTGGTAAGTAGGCATATTAGCTAATAGTGTAGCTAAAGTGAGACAACCACCTCCATTTTTTTTTTTTTAATTCTTAGAAAATAGACTCAAAATTTTGTTCAAGAACTCAAACTCCTGAAGGAGTGACCAAAGAAAACAGTAAAGTTCTGAGGGATGAATAAACACATACCCGCTTAAACAAATGTTACCAGGAGAATAATGTTCAAATGAATTGGAAAAAGAACACCACTGAGAAGCCTTGAACTTAGCGAGGCCAAAATTTTTTACCCTCAGCTCGATTATCTTCAAAATTAATGCTAGCTTACTAAAAGATTTAGTGGAGGGTGTAATCCAACCAAATCCTGTGTTTCATGTTGTAATGAGATACCCAAACCTTATCGATTCACATTTAATCCATTGGGCTTTTGCATTGGGTATTTGAAGTAAGAGCATGAGGAGTTTGGCTTGTAAAGAAATGTCGATATTTAGTGAGTTATGGATTTTATCCATTAAAATTGGGTGACCACTTGTACCAAATGTGAGATAGTTTTCTATGACTACAAATCCCAGAGTCACAACTGAGATTATCTGTTGATTTGATACAGGATAAACTCACACGGCAATCATTCAGAAAATGATATTCTCAAGTTTGCTGCTGCAGTGGAATCTAACACAGTTCACCCAGTTGGCAAAGCAATTGTAGAAGCTGCTCGAGCTGTTAATGTTCAGAATTTGAAGGTAGTTTCTTATACATATTATATATATAAATGTTAACAAAACAAATAGGCTGGATTTTTTACAAGGAACACAAGTCCTTCATATAAAAAAGTTATTTAACTTTGCTAATAAATTAATAAGAACAATTTCTTGACTAGCCAGTACCAGTATGTAATAGAGTACTTTCCAGGAAGGTGTACAGAAGTTGTAAGGGCCACATTTCCATGGAAATGTGGCATCAGTGACACATTGCCACATGGCATGATGCAGCATCCAAAAAGAAATTTCTCCTTTGCACATCCATTGAGAAAAATATAAAACCTAATCGTACTTGTCAATTAAGTAATTGTTCCCCCCCCACCAAGAAGAAGTCTGGATAACAGTTTAGCGATTTGAATTATTTAGGAAGAAGCGTGTTAGACATTGTTGCTTGTTAATCATGGTCTTTTATTATACGAATTTTTGTTTATGCTCACACATGCATGCACCACTATAGACTTACAGCAGTTTCCTAAGTGTGGCTTCTCTGATAGCTCAAACCTCATGCTACCATTGGGTTTGATCAGTGATATATTTTCATGAGGTGTAATTTGAGGGCTGTTATGCTATTGGCAAAGTGGATATACATAACCTGGTATCTTAGATGGAGATAATTGAGTTTTTAAGAGAAAAATGAAGTATTTCATTGCTTTTTGAGCTATAATTTTAATTATTGAATTTAAATATTTCACATTTACAGGTGGTCGACGGAACATTCATTGAAGAACCTGGTTCTGGTGCTGTTGCAACAGTAGAAAACAGGATAATATCTGTCGGAACTTTGGACTGGGTTCAGAGGTATTCTCCACATCTCTTCTGAAATATGCATTAAAGGGATATGTTGTTTTTGTATGTCTATCCATGAAAGGTTTGTTTGTTTCTGAAAGCTCTTAAGTGGACTGAAACTTTGCAAAAAATCAGTTCAATGTAGGGAGGAACCAAAGAACCTTTAATGGGAATAGTTGGAACCGGGAAGAATCTTTGATTTGCCAGAGTATCGTTGTTCTTGCTGGTGGTCCCTTTCAAATATTTTATTTAATTTTTTTTAATGACCCCCTTTGTGATTATTTTAGGGAACTCCTATTGGGATATATATTCCCTTACGGTAGCTGCGACGTACATGTACCTTTTCACTATATTAATTTTTTTTATAAGAAACAAAGAAACCTCGTATTAACCCATAGAGAGCAAACCACAGCCAAAAGGCTGTAGGGATGAGGGATCATACTCAAGTGACGTCTCTGAGCCATGAAAACTCTTTCTTGTTTCAAACCACTGCTCAAATGATGTCTTTGTACTATCCCTCAATCTAGGGGGATTTATGTGTAGATTATTTTTGTTGAATACAAAAGCCTAGATTTATGATCTCATTGAATTAATTATATCCTCAGGCATGGAGTTGTTGCCGATCATTTTCAAGAAACGGATGATCTCAAAGCTCAATCGGTCGTTTATGTAGGAATAGACAATATTCTTGCTGGTCATATTTATTATGAGGATGGCATACGGGAAGAGGCTAGTCATGTCATCGACACTTTATCTAGGCAAGGAATTAACACATACATGTTGTCTGGCGACAAAAGGAGTACTGCCGAGTACGTCGCATCTCTTGTTGGAATTCCAAAAGAGAAGGTATGAAATTTGATTCCTTATATTTACCTGTAAGTTCACTAGATTTTAATACTGTATCAATCACCCATTGTCTTACTATTTAGGTTATTGTTAAATGGTTAATTTTTTAAGGTTTATTGTGTGTGTGTGATATCTTATTTTTCTCCAAAGGTAGTTAATATGCTTGTGACCATAAATAAAGATATCTTGAGTAATTGAATTAGCACAATATATGTAAGGTTTTGGCAGAAATTTCCATTTTCTTCGACAGTTATTTTGATGAATTGCTGTTTTCTAGTCCTGGAGCAGTCTTAGGCTCGTCATAATTAAGGGACCTAAAAAGCTGGTCTGGATGGACTAGCACATCATTATGCCCTTCATATTTGAATACGATGCATTAGAGTTAAATGAAAGTGAAGAAAGAAAAGGAGAACTGTAATAGGGAGAAATTGTGGGCTAATTTCAAGAAAGCAAAGCAGAACTTTCTATTCTTTAGATCCTAATTCGATATTTGCTTCATGTGGTTTGATAAGAATGACCAAATTAGGTTAGCTGAGTTCCTTAGAAAAGGAAGCTTTTTTCCTATAGAGATAATCCCATATCAAAAGCTTAAACTGTTAGATTATGATAAATTTAATTATATTAATACTTCAACACCACCTCACTTATGGGGTTGAAAATTCGGTTGAAAATTTGTGGAAGGTCCAACAAATGGAAATCAATATTAATTAGGGAGGAATTGACATTATAGGGGTTTGAACACGTGACCAACTCTAGTACTATGTGAAATGACTAAACCCAAAAACTTAAGGTGATAGATTATGGTAAATTTAATTATATCAATACTTCAACTAACTAATTAGAAAAATTAGGTATTTCCCCTTTTCCCCTAAAAGAATTGCATACCTTAATACATTTCAGCTTACACATGCACACTCTTCAAGTTTTTGCTTCCCTTTCTCGTTGACTTCTATATTTTCTATTTATACTTTATTGATAAGCAACAGCCTTACCTACAATCAATCTTGATTTTTGGGTTTTAAGTAATTTTATAGTTGGCAAGATTCATATGCTTAAAAGAGTTTTTAGTTTTGGGGTATATAAATGGAAACATTTTTTTTATCTAGTGTGTCATGTCACCTGAGTTTTGACTTGACCTCATTTTGTATGTTGTGCCTTGCCTAGGCTCTGTTATATATAGTATAACTTACAAGACTGTATCGAGTTTCAAAATAAATTTTTTTTTTATGATAATCTTTGAAGGTACGATCTGGAGTTAAACCCCATGAAAAGAAGAAGTTTATTAGTGAACTTCAGGAGAGCCGCAACATTGTAGCCATGGTTGGTGATGGAATCAACGATGCTGCTGCTTTGGCTACTGCAGATATTGGAATTGCGATGGGTGGGGGTGTCGGAGCCGCCAGCGAGGTGTCTCCTATAGTGTTAATGGGCAACAGACTCTCTCAGGTACTTCAAGCCATATGTTGTTTTGTTGCCAGTGTTTATATTTTTGGACACATGTAGACAGAAGTTCTTGTTCATGATAGAACGCAGCTATCTTTGTACTTGCTTAATGGCCTGCTGCCCGTATTTATTTCCGAACCTATATTTTTTTTTGGCAGACATTCCTTCTTTTTCTCCTCATATCAACATAATTTGATGTGTTACCTTGCAGAGTTGAAAGATTGGGATTTCATTCTTCTTACAGAATTTTATTTTTAGTTGAAACATAAGAGAAGTTAATTCTTGTTCTTGCTGGGAAATAAATAATTATCACAAAATATATATTGAAGTCTACACTCAAGGCTGGGGGAAATGGCAGAAATGGCTCCTTAGTCAACAGTAAGAGAAGTCCAACTAGGAGCTATATTTGATAAGTACTTAGAATATTTTAATTTCGAACTTGATCCCTTTAGAATAAAATATGTCTGTACCTAGGTTTCAACAAAGGGCTCTCATGTAATTCCACATTTCCACCAAAGAGTTTTAGCTATGTCACTCAGCTGTGAATCATCGAGTGCTGGGTGCAATCGAGAACAGTTAACACCATTGAATATATCATAGTTTACCAGGATAAGCTCTTGGATTTAGCGTCAACTTAACAAGATGAGTATTTTATCTTCATAGCAGCAGGGCGCTGACAAACATTTCACTAGTTATAGTAGCTGTAGCATTACAGCAGCTTTTAGAAAACTTTCAGAGATTTAAGGGTGACAAATGCCTTCTCCTCATTGCATTAGATGCATTGGTAAGTCCTTCAGCCCTGTGGAGAGGAGTAACTTGTACATTGCCGCTCGACAATTTATATTACCTATATGCAGGGAAACCTGCCATTTGAACCTAGAAGTCCAATCTCAATCATCTCTCTAGTGAGGTGTACTGCCCAGATCAATTTATGTAATGTAATTAATACTGCCACTGAATATATTTCCTCTGGCAATCCTTGATAGAAGACTTTTAGAATTCACCGCCGCATAGAAACGAGGAAAATGGTAAGGGATCTATCTATAATCACATTTTTTCCTACAATATGGTAGCTGTTCTATTACCTAATCAGTAGCGAGAGTTTCTAACCACAATGCTCATGCACTAGCTATGTGAAACCTAGAACAGAAAATCTACCAAGTATAGTCTTTGTTAGATACTACAAAACCTCTATACAACGAAGCAATAGGGAATCTCTTATATTGAGGGATTATACAAAGTGAAATTTCTCAGTTTTGGTATCTGGAGATCAAAAGATAAGAGGCAATATTAGTAGAGTCAATCACCGCGGTTTTATGCATTAATCAAACATGATCTACGTGACTATTTTTCTTGTGAATTGTCATCTTCAAAATCATATTTTCTTTGGTTTTATGAGATCGGATGTAATTTCCTTCAAAAACTTCCTTGCAGTTGCTTGATGCTTTGGAGCTTAGCAGGTTAACCATGAAGACCGTGAAGCAAAACCTTTGGTGGGCTTTTGGATATAACATCGTAAGTTTTTAACCATCACCTAGCTACTCTCTATTTTACCTGTCCTTTATATTACAAAAAAAAATTCATTCCACTTTTTATGCAGCCTATAACCAAACATTCTGCCCGTTTGATAACATGTCACTTTTGGTTTTGATTTTTAGAAATTTAAGTTTATAAATATTACTTCCACAAAAAAAAAAAATCGTAAGAAAACAAGCATGATTTTAAAATACCAAAAATTCAAAACCAAGTAGTTATCAAGCGGGATTTAAAAAATTCTTCACATTTTATCTTTTCATCTTTTGGGTTTTAGAGTCCTAAGGGTATTAAATTTTATAAGGTTGAAGCTCTGTTCTCTTATTATTGTTTCATTGAGTTGTCGTTCATTTCATCTAACTTCGTTTCTTCCTTCGCCCACAGCCTGATTTCATTATTAGAGGTGCACTGTGTTGGTTTAAAGCTTGCCTTTTGAGTTTTGTTTTCTTTGACTCGTAATTATGAATTGAACCCAAACGAGTCTATACCTCAACGCCCACCTTACCCCTGATTAATTAATCTTTGGGAGAATATATTCTACGGGATAGCAAATCTCTTAAAAAAACTACATAAACACAGGCACAGAAAAACACGGTTTAACCAACTTGGGTTCTAGAATATTAAAGAAACAATCCCTAATTGTTGGGTAATCAAAAGCAAAGATAGTTACAAAAAAAAAATAGGAAGAAAAGAAAAAGATAGGCATTGAAATGTTCTTGTAGACCTGAAACCTTTTTCCGTGTATCAAACACCGGAAAAAAAACATTACAAGTTTATTTTTAACCATAAATTCTACACCATAGCATAGCAAAGAAACAATTTGCCATAGAAAACGGCACTTATTTTGGAAAGGAGGCCCCTGACGGTATTGTCCTTCATCATAGCCCGCTTACTTGCTCCCTGAATCATATCAAAAGCTGGCCAAAAGGGCCCATTCACACCTTAAAAGCAAAAAAAGGCAAAACTAGAACACATGATTCAACTCCTTTGAAACACACGTACGCCAACCAGGCCAAAGACGAACTGTGTAGGCTTTCTGAACTCTTAAAGTGAGGTCAACCAAGAAAAAAGGCCAGATTCTCACTTTCAGCTTATAATAAAGGAGGCTTCTTTAAATATTACTTCGATCCCATTTCTTTCTACTTTTGTTCATTTGTCCATTTGAGTCTATTACTTTAAACCGTGTATATTTTTTTCCCTTCATTTTTATTTTTCATTTGAAATATTTGCATCACTTCATTTACTAAATTTCTTATAATGTTGCAATAATTTGTATTAAAATATTTCCATGGTGTATATAATTCAGGTTAAAATTTTGAAAATAAGAATCAAATAGTCCTATTCTTGAAAGAATGAATAAAGATCGAAAGTATATGGACTAAAATGAACCAAAACTTGAAGGGTCGTATCTTTCTAGGGCGTGTATATATATATATATATATATATACTTCCATTCTCTTTTTATGTATGCCTAATTTGGCTTCTCTGACATCTTCATTCAGGTGGGAATTCCAATTGCGGCAGGCGTATTGCTTCCTATTACTGGGACTATACTCACACCTTCCATTGCGGGTGCCCTTATGGGTCTGAGTTCCGTAGGTGTTATGGCAAATTCACTACTTTTGAGATTAAGATTTTCTCATAACAGAAAAAAATCTCTGGAGGACCAACAACCTAAAGAAAAATAGATTAGAAAGGGAAAAAAAAAAAAAAAAANCTGAACTCTTAAAGTGAGGTCAACCAAGAAAAAAGGCCAGATTCTCACTTTCAGCTTATAATAAAGGAGGCTTCTTTAAATATTACTTCGATCCCATTTCTTTCTACTTTTGTTCATTTGTCCATTTGAGTCTATTACTTTAAACCGTGTATATTTTTTTCCCTTCATTTTTATTTTTCATTTGAAATATTTGCATCACTTCATTTACTAAATTTCTTATAATGTTGCAATAATTTGTATTAAAATATTTCCATGGTGTATATAATTCAGGTTAAAATTTTGAAAATAAGAATCAAATAGTCCTATTCTTGAAAGAATGAATAAAGATCGAAAGTATATGGACTAAAATGAACCAAAACTTGAAGGGTCGTATCTTTCTAGGGCGTGTATATATATATATATATATATATACTTCCATTCTCTTTTTATGTATGCCTAATTTGGCTTCTCTGACATCTTCATTCAGGTGGGAATTCCAATTGCGGCAGGCGTATTGCTTCCTATTACTGGGACTATCTGACATCTTCATTCAGGTGGGAATTCCAATTGCGGCAGGCGTATTGCTTCCTATTACTGGGACTATACTCACACCTTCCATTGCGGGTGCCCTTATGGGTCTGAGTTCCGTAGGTGTTATGGCAAATTCACTACTTTTGAGATTAAGATTTTCTCATAACAGAAAAAAATCTCTGGAGGACCAACAACCTAAAGAAAAATAGATTAGAAAGGGAAAAAAAAAAAAAAAAACCAAATTTATACCAACCCCATGAAAGAGATGGCTTTAATTTTTTTTATTACAGAAATGGAGAGATTTTCTTTGTTTGATCAAACATTCTTGTTCTAGTGAAACTGAAGGTGTTCATCTTATCATCATTTTGTTAATCATTGTTTTAGCAAGCCATAAGATGCTGCTATGCGATGCAATGCATTGCATTTTAATTGATACTCATAAAATAGCTATTAGCCTTTGGGCTTGATATTAAGAAGTTAGTTGGATGTTAATTATTTTCATTAAGGATTCAGTTAATATACTCTTAACACTAAATAAATACTTGTTTTTAGGTTTTTAAAGGGGCACTTTTGTTAATGGATTGGAAGGCTTTCTTGTATTTTTGTGGGGAAAGGCATTCATTCCCTCTCCCTTGCCCTCCTAGGTTGTATTGGTTGGCTGTTTTGGAATTAAATTGTTTCTCGTTTCTCTAAAACATAAAATAAATTTGAGACAGGATATGGTTGTTTGCTTTCGTATTCGAGACTGGATCATATATATCATTGACATGTAAAATTCTCTTTTAAGTCTAAGGTTGAATTCCATATTTTTAGATTACTTTCACACCAGTAGTGTTCGTGGTTGGCTTACTCAATTATGTATCAATCTTACAGGTTGGGTAGGGCGACACAGCTCCCAACTATGGAGTGATTACGTCCAACATGTCACTCCTTATTTTTGTCATGCTATAAGTTGTTATTATAAGGTTTAAGACGAGTGAGTGCAAAATATAAATTGTTTAATAAGTTTTTAAACTTTTAATTTTTTGATTAATTAATTTGAGAGAATTGTTTGCCTATAAATTAACGTAAATAAAATTAAATCGTTCTTATTATTGGAAATAAATAAATAAAAATTATAATATTACTATTGACTTTCATTAAACTTTTAAAACCTAAAATGATCTAGTCGTGGCCTGAGACTTGAGCATTATAAAAATGTTTTTTAAACGATTAGCAATGATTTTTTTTTTTTTTTTTTATTTATTATTTTATAATTTAGTATGAAAAGAGGAGGTGTGTAATAATAATATATATATTTCTCTCTAATTTCTCTCCCCGAGATTCCACAACCGCGCGCAGTGTGTTCCCCGTTCCCAACGTACTTCCTTTTCGTTTCACCTGAAAAAACAACCATTTCCCGTTTCATTTCATTCACTGCATTCCAAGTCTGGCAATTCGAATCGGATCCCTTATTCCTTTTTCCAGCTGCTTTTCACTCATCTTCCAAATCTTTCAAGATTCAGGACTTTCCCCTGCTTAATGGCTGACGGTGAATTAGAGAGGGGAGAGGTCAATTGTAGGCTTGCTTCCATGGATTCCTCCGAGTCCCGATGGGTATTTCAGGATGAGGATCAATCGGACATCGACGAGGAGGCGGAGGACGAGGAGGACGAGGAGAATGCAGCGCAGCATCGTATGGATTTGGAGTCTGAGGAAGAAGATAATGTTGAGCAGAAATTGATTCGGACTGGCCCACGTATTGATTCCTTCGATGTCGAAGCTCTTGAGGTCCCTGGTGCACATAGAAATGAATACGAGGTGCTATGAGTTTTCGATTTAAGTTGCATTTTTTTTTTGTCTCTCTTAGTTTTGTATATCTACCGCGATATTGAACTGGAAGCAAGTTCTAGTTTATTTTACGTTGTGGTGTGATATAAAGCTAGCGGAGCATTATTGGTTATCTGCAGATTTTGGGTTACTTTTTTTAGCAGGAAGGTTTAACTACCTAATTGGCTGATGATTAAATGTCAATGTCTGTTCCATGATGACTAATCAAGGAGATAATGGCTGTATCTACATTCTCTGTTACTTTGTACGGGATTTACTTTCAAATTCGGTCCTAGTTCTAAGTTTGTAACTTCTCTTCAATCGGATATTTGGTTTGAGCGGAATGATAGTTATATAACGTTAATTCATGGGTAAGAAAGTATTTGAAGTATTTGATGTTCGTAACTTATTTTCAGGACTTCAGCGTGGGAAAGAAAATTACTCTTGCTTTTCAAACCCTTGGAGTTGTATTTGGTGATGTTGGGACAAGCCCTCTGTATACCTTCAGTGTCATGTTCTACAAGGCTCCTATTAAGGAAGATGAAGATGTTATTGGGGCATTATCTCTAGTTATCTACACCTTAATCTTGATTTCACTAATCAAGTATGTTCTTGTTGTTCTGCTGGCAAATGATGATGGTGAAGGTATGCTTTCTAAACTTATGTCATTTATTTGAAGTTGCTCCTCTTGCATGCTCATATTTATGTGTATTGATGCAATATTTTGTGAGCTCATATCTTGAAGGAGCGCTAAAGGTTTGCTGGTAGAAAATGCCCCTTCTCTTAGGATCCAATGTATAGCTGACGGTCCTGAATCTTTTTCTAAAAACTTGGTTTGGTTTTAGTCCGGATTTTTGTTAGGTCTTTTTTTTTTTCATCTCTTAATGAAATGGATTCCCTAGCAAAAGAATATTGGCCTTAACTTTTCTGGTATGACATGTTATTTCATCATGCACTCTCTTCCTCGCTTTGTCATTTCCAAACCAAACTGTACGTACTTTACACAGGTGGAGTGTCGATGAGGTTTAGTTAGCTTTATGCATTATAAGTCCTATGAGTTTTGTAATTTTCTACTGTTTTGCTAATGGCTAGTTTAGTGTTTTTGTCGTTTCTCCCATCTCCTAGTCAGTTTTGGACACTTATCATCCTTCACATGTTTTTCTGGAGTAATATAGTTGTTCTTATCCCAATGCATTCCTTCCACCCTGAATAAAATGCATACAAATATTGTAGGTTGGCCTAGTAATTAGGGGGTGGCTGCAATAGGATCATACTGGCGTAATATGCATAACTCCAAATTTTCTGAGCCCTTAGAGGAGAAATTTTGCTAGCCATTGATGAAGTCATCACACAAATGATTCGGTCTTTGTATGTAAGAAAATGTGTTATGAAACGTGAAGTGGGATTTTCATTATTTAGTTATCAACTTCTGCAGGTGGTACTTTTGCTTTGTACTCTTTGATTTGTAGACATGCCAAGGTCAGTCTACTCCCAAATCAACTGCCTTCAGATACCCGAATATCACGTTTTAGGTTAAAGGTGCCATCTCCTGAATTGGAAAGATCACTAAGAATAAAGGAAAAACTTGAGGCTTCCCTGACTTTAAAGAAGCTTCTCTTGATGCTTGTTCTTGCTGGAACTTCTATGGTAATAGCCGATGGAGTTATTACACCCGCCATGTCAGGTTTTTATATACTATTTCTTCTCTTTTCCGCTGAGTAAATTCTCGTGCTGCCAGAATTGGGACAATGGAAGCCATTTTAGATGTATTCTGATCTTGGCCATGGGCCTGACTGAGAACAAAACAAACTTTATCCTCTATTTTTAGTTGGTTTCTTTCTTCTTTTTCATTTCCTTATCCCTGTAACGAAATTACACCTTTATTCCATAAAGAATCTGTTTTACTGTTTAGACGACCTTGTACCTTTTATCTTTTTTATTTGGAAAAAGCTTCCTACCCAATAATGGAGCTAGAGATTTGGGTATTACTAATGTTGAATAATGACGACCTTTTGTTTTTCTTCTTGCAGTAATGTCGGCTGTTGGTGGACTAAAGATTGGAGTGGATGCGATCAATCAAGGTAGTTTCTAACCTTTTTGACTGTCTAGTTCCTCTTATATGGCAAATCACTTAGACAGACCACAACATGATGATAGATATTGAAGTGTTTGATAACACTCAGGGGCATCTTCTTGAGATCCATTCATTTTGAAATATATTATGAGAGATGATCAACTGCCTTTTTATTTTTTTTATCATCATTTCAAAAAAGTTATAGTTTGCTGTTTATTGTTTTTCATGCTATTTCCGTTTTAGTTTCCAGAGTTGTGATTATGCAACAGTGAAATCTGGGCTTATGATTTGTGTGTGGATATGGAGTTGAGGGCTGGATTTTTGCCCCTCATTCGATTTGTGAGTTACGATGGGTATGAGGAGAACATTTTTTAGTATAAAACTAGTCATTATAATTTTAATATCTATAAAGTATTTAGTATAAAAAGTGTTTTTTTTTTCCAGTTGAATACATTCAAAATCCGTTTGTATCTTTTGTATACCATCATTTCCAGTGCATCACTTTGCAACAACGAAACTTGTAGAGTATACTCGAAGCTCATAAAGTATGGATTCTTTGTCTTGTATAATGTTTCTTTGTCAATATC